AGAATCTTATCCTCAAGGAGCTTCATGGCCACTTCAGGAACTCCTATGTCCTTAAAGTTTTTGTGATTAGAAGAAGAGAGGAGCTCGAGAGAGAGAGATGGCCTCTGAGAGTCAGGACCTCACTCAGTGATGTCATAATGGGGGTGACAGCAAATCCAGGGTTGATTCACAGTCCTGCATATCTGCAAACTTGTTTTTGAAAGTACAGACTCTTTGTCTGTCTTGTTATCTTCTGTACCTCAAATGCCCTGAACTGTAGCTGGCATACAGTGCCCAATAAATAATATGAAATGAAACAATCAGTAAAGATGATACGTCCCCAAGATCTGATTTTGGATCTCTAAATCACAAGAGAAGGTGGAATAGACTGCAATGTAAGTAAATTAAATTATAATGTGAAATATAATTGCAATGGGAAACAGACTCTGTAACCTTCCTTCTTGTAAGAAAATGAACATGAAACTATAATAACTCATCAGAAGGTTGCTTGTTGAGTATGAAATAAGCAAAGGAGGTGGCTGGATGCTCTGAATTGCTACCTATGCCATACTGTGAAATCTTGAGGCACTTATTTAGCCTATAGGGGTCAATGTGCATAGGATCTAGATTTGATTAATTAATTCATCCAGTATTATGTGCTGAGGACTTGCTATGTGCCAGAAAAGGTTACAAAGGTGAGCAGAAAAGACAGTCACACAGTTGCTGGACTCATGGCCCTTCAGTAGTAGATTTGGGAAGGCAGAAACAAAGAAAATGATCTCGCTAGTAAATGTAACATTAAAACTGTGATAAAGCACCAGGAAGACATGGTACTCAGCGTCAAGTGTATGTGTAGCAACCAGACTTACTTTGGAGGTCCCAAAAGGCTTTCCTGAGGAAGAAGGGCTTGGACTGAGACCCCAAGGATGAGTAGGGGTTAACTACACTCGGGACTGAGGGTGTGGGGGTAAAGACAGTTCTTGAGAGGGAACAGCATGTGCAAAGGCCCTGTGGTGGGAGGGAGCACAGGGTGTTTGAGGCACAAAGAGGAAGATCAGGGGGCTGGAGTGCAGCCAGGGAGGAGAGGTGGGTGACGAGCCTGAAGAAGACAGCACTGGCAAGGTTGGTCATGGCCTTGTAAGCCTGTCATCTTTATCCTTGGGGGAACCGGGGTGTCACTGAAGGGTTTCAGCATGGAGTGCTAAGGTCATATTTATATTTCGAAAGGAGCACTCAGGCTGCTGTATAATCTCTGATCAAGTCACTGTTTCTGGATAATGCTGAAAGAATACTGTCAAATTCTATCCCTCTGGGTCCTCTTTCTCCTTTTCTATGTTCAAGGTTGCCCGTTCCCCTTCTGCTAATGGTCTTCTTAAGGAGGGGATTTAGTATAGTTAATTAAGTTTCAGCTTACGAAATTAAATCATAATTATGTGTCCCAAGGTCATTTGGATTGGAATTTTGAGAACTGAAAACTCTACAGTTAAACAATTACCATCAATCTATTGGGGTACCCTGAGTGCATCTATTGTGTGTTCAACCAGTTTAATTCCAAGAGAGAAATTCATAGCAATTTCTCGCCCTGTGACATGTCATGAGTTAGGACATGGTGAGGGCAGACACCAGGCTGCAAGGAGTGAGAGGGTACCCTTGGGCCAGACTGATGATCAGTTGCTGGGTAAGAGGAGGAAGCCTATTCTCAGCTGGAGGAGTACAGTCACCTCCTGGCTTCATTTCCTGTTTTGTTTGGCTTGATTTCCATGTTCAGTCATGAAATAAGCAAAGGAGGTGGCTGGATGCTCTGAATTGCTACCTATGCCATACTGTGTAGGAGAAGCTTTCTGAAGACATGAAATTCATTAATAGGGTCAATGGGTGGCATATTTATTTCCTATTGATGAGGGAATAGCCTACAGAGAGCCCTCAGTGGGCTACAGAGATGGAGCCTCAGTAGAGGCCCATGAAGGACATTCAGAGTCAGAGTTAAACTGTAAACTGCAAAGTCAACACAAAAAGCATTAGGATAGAGCCACTGTAAAGACACCATACAGCCCCTGGGCTGGTGAAACTAGTCACTAATGTAGCTGGGAGTGTGATAAACTCTGAGGCAGTGTGTGAGTCCCAGGAAGAGTTGATGGACCATGGAAACCTGAGAAAGCCTTCAAAGGGCAAAGGCTGCCCACAATCCTGCCGGCTCCTCTGCCTGGAGTATCCTGGCCCCAGAGGTAGGGCTGGCTCTGGATCAAAGTGGACCATGTTCACAACACTTCTGATGCCAGATGTGCGGGGTTCTCCCCCGCCAAGCGGTTTTCTGCAACACCACCTGGGGGGTCCTGCAATCTAACTCAATTCTGACACTGTCTACCTGGAGATAGGGTCAGATCCCACAGGTTAAGGGTGATGTCCCACCAAACTCCTCCCCACCCCAATTCAGATGCCAATTGCCAAGTCCAGGTTGTCACCTACGTTTCTGACCAACCGGCTATAAACCCCTCCTCAGGTTTGCTTAATTTGTGAGAGTGGCTCACAGAACGCAGGGAAACACTTACTTCCATCTACCAGTTGATTCAAGGATCTGATAAAGGATACAGAAGAACAACCAGATGAAGAGGTATGTAGGGCAAGGTCTGGGAGGGTCCTCAGTGGAGGGGCTTCCGCCCCTGTGAAATTGGGGTGTGTTACCCTCCCAGTATGTGGATGTGTTAACCCACCTGGAAACTCTCCAAATCCCATTATTATTGGGGTTTCATGGAAGCTTTCTCATGTGGGCTTGATCAATTATTAACTCCATTTCCATCTCCTGTCCCCTCTCTAGAGAATGGGGGTGGGTGGAGCTGAGAATTCCAGGCTTCTAATCATGGCTTGGTCTTCCCTGTAACCAGCCCCCACCTGGGAGCCATCTAGGAACCCACCCAGCATTGCCTCATTGTAACAAAAGAGGCTTCCAGTGTGCTTATCACTTAGGAATTTTTTTCTTTTTGGAGTATGATTGCTTTACAATGGTGTGTTAGTTTCTGCTTTATAGCAAAGTGAATCAGTTATACATATAAATATGTTCCCATATCTCTTCCCTCTTGTGTCTCCCTCCCTCCCACCCTCCCTATCCCACCCCTCCAGGCGGTCACAAAGCACCGAGCTGATCTCCCTGTGCTATGCGGCTGCTTCCCACTAGCTCTCTACCTTACGTTTGGTAGTGTATATATGTCCATGCCTCTCTCTCGCTTTGTCACAGCTTACCCTTCCCCCTCCCCATATCCTCAAGTCCATTCTCTAGAAGGTGTGTGTCTTAATTCCTGTCTTACCTCTAGGTTCTTCATGACATTTTTTTCCCCTTAAATTCCATATATATGTGTTAGCATACGGTATTTGTCTTTCTCTTTCTGACTTACTTCACTCTGTATGACAGACTCTAGGTCTATCCACCTCATTACAAATAGCTCAATTTCGTTTCTTTTTATGGCTGAGTAATATTCCATTGTATATATGTGCCACATCTTCTTTATCCATTCATCCGAGGAATGTACAGTGGAGAAAGGACAGCCTCTTCAATAAGTGGTGCTGGGAAAACTGGACAGGTACATGTAAAAGTATGAGATTAGATCACTCCCTAACACCATACACAAAAATAAGCTCAAAATGGATTAAAGACCTAAATGTAAGGCCAGAAACTATCAAACTCTTAGAGGAAAACATAGGCAGAACACTCTATGACATAAATCACAGCAAGATCCTTTTTGACCCACCTCCTAGAGAAATGGAAATAAAAACAAAAATAAACAAATGGGACCTAATGAAACTTCAAAGCTTTTGCACAGCAAAGGAAACCATAAACAGGACCAAAAGACAACCCTCAGACTGGGAGAAAATATTTGCAAATGAAGCAACTGACAAAGGATTAATCTCCAAAATTTATAAGCAGTTCATGCAGCTCAATAACAGAAAAACAAACAACCCAATCCAAAAATGGGCAGAAGACCTAAATAGACATTTCTCCAAAGAAGATATACAGACTGCCAACAAACACATGAAAGAATGCTCAGCATCATTAATCATTAGAGAAATGCAAATCAAAACTACAATGAGATATCATCTCACACCCGTCAGAATGGCCATCATCAAAAAATCTAGAAACAATAAATGCTGGAGAGGGTGTGGAGAAAAGGGAACACTTTTGCACTGCTGGTGGGAATGTGAATTGGTACAGCCACTGTGGAGAACAGTATGGAGGTTCCTTAAAAAACTACAAATAGAACTACCATATGACCCAGCAATCCCACTACTGGGCATATACCCTGAGAAAACCATAATTCAAAAAGAGTCATGTACCAAAATGTTCATTGCAGCTCTATTTACAATAGCCAGGAGATGGAAACAACCTAAGTGTCCATCATCGGATGAATGGATAAAGAAGATGTGGCGCATATATACAATGGAATATTACTCAGTCACTTAGGAATTTACAAGGGTTCCAGGAGCTCCCTGCCAACAACCAGGGGGCAGACACCAATATGTATATTTTCTCTTATCTCTCAGGACCCTAGTATGTGAACATGGAATATTGGAATCCAACTGGCTACTCTAAAGCACTATGAGACGGATGGGTGGCAACTGAAAATTCAATTCATCGGATTCCCCGACTCACAAAGAACCTGCTCAATGCCACTGGCTTCCCCTACAGATCTACAGGGAGAGACGGGTGGGCATTTGAGACACTTGCCCCAGCTCCTCTGATAGGTCTCATCCCACTTGTGGGGCTTGGGTACCACGGACCTGCAGTGATGGGGGACTTGGAAAGTTACTCCCAGACTGTTGGATTTATCTCATTTATGAGCCCACAACCCTGAGGGCTACCTAGTGGACCGAGGTAAATTCACCAAAGGTAGGCACGTTTCCCGGAGAATCAGCCTGGGACAGCCAGGGTCTGCAGGCAGCACGCGTGGACGGGCCACCGCCCGCGGGGGTTGGGCTCCTGGTCACGGTTTGGATCTGCCCTCTGCTTCCCGTGCATAAGAACCACTCACCTTTTTACTTCCTGTTTTGCCCGATAATTCCTTCTCCCTGTTCACAGCTAGTTTTAAGTTTTTTAGTTCCTGTCTCATCAGCTCGTCAACCTGGGTGAATACAAAAGGTTTAGATGACTTCGCATGACTTGTGTTTTCTTTGTGAAGTTAAAAATAGCTTAAATTCTGGGTAGGTTATTAACAGGAAATTGTAACAAAGCACTGCAGTGAATGACTTACTGGGACTACAGCATAAAAGCAGTCTTACCTGCAGCCTGATCTCCGACTCCAATTCTTTCCGTTTGTCCTCTTTGATCAGTTCGGGATCATAGCCCTGGGGGACATTCCACGATTCATCTTTATTCTTCCACAGGTCTGTACTCCAGAAGGATAAAGAAAAAGAAAATGAAATTTTTTTCAGCGTGAAGACTAATGTTGACTTAAAAAAAATGTACAACATGAGAGTTGTGAGTCAAGTTTCATTTGGGGCAAAATGAGGATTATAGCCCGGGAGACAGCGACTCAGAGAGCTCTGAGAAACTGCTCTAAAGAGGCAGGGAGTAAGGTTAGCATATATGTGATTTTGGTGAAGGGGGAGTACATGCAATCGAGCACATATTTTTTTGCAGAAGGTTTTTCCTAGTCTCGAGGAGCCGTCGTCACCATGAAGCATTTTAGTGCTTTTCTAGATAGGAGGAGATACAAGAATTGGGCTCATAAAATCTTCTGAAAATATCTAACTATTCTGAAGACCTGCTCTGCCAGTTTTTCCCAGAGCACAGAAGGCCTCATGTACGCTCTCCACCTCGAACTCCTTTCGGGGGGTGTTAAAAGTCAGCAGCCGCAGCGGCTCATGACTTAATCCTTGTAGAGGTAGACGGCAAGTGCCCATTCCTTTGTGGTGGACACTAAGGAATATGCAGTTTTGTGATATATTGACACAAACTCAGTTTTCTGCTCTACATCCTCCTCTCCACTTCCCAAACAGAAGGATTGTGCCTGTATAATATCTAAAAGATAAAGAGGGAAACTGCTAATGTGAAAAGATCCAGTAAAAAAGTATGAAATGAACAGTATTCTTCCATACGATTAAAAACATGTAAAAAAATAATATGTTAATTGTGGGATTATACAGTTATAGGTGACTGTTTCTGTAATATGTTTTACATTATTCTTATTCTTCAAATGATGCGCTAAAATAGGAGAGATTTTGTTGCTCGCTCAACTCACCGGTAATTTACCCCGGCTCCTAGTAAAAGCCAACACTGAATACACAAGTACCCACTACTCGCCCCTAATTCAACGGCTCTATTTTTGTATCACTTTTTGGATGTTTTTGAAATCATACACATTTTACATTTCCCTTTTGCTGGCAGTTAGGAGGATGGTTAGAGAAATGTGACCCTAGAGGAAATAAGGGTAATTTTGTATCACTGGAATAAATGGAAATAAACCTGTTTTCTCAGAAGGGGAATTCCAAATTGCACAGAGGTGCAGATCACTGGATCCTGGCTGCGGGATCGGGGGCGGGGGGGGGGGGGGGGGGG